AGATGGAAAAAACTGTTTTTTTGACTATCACAGTATTTTCAAGTAGCCATTTTGAATTAAAATAAAATAAAAAGATTAAACATGTTGATTTCGATTGGAAAAAAAAATCGGTCCTCAAAGGGTTAAGCACGTTAACCGAAGCTGATTTCAACCTACTTGACTGAAAATATTTGACTGCTTGTTCTAGAGTAAGTTTTTTATTGGCTCTTGCTTTTTCCACTGCTTCACGTAGTGCTGTCACAAGTAGTTTTTCTTCTAATTGCCATTGTATTTTTTCTTTTTCTTGAATATCTTTCATATCGATACTTCGATCATCATAATGTTTAAAGTAGGTCGACACCGGCTGAAAACAATAAGAAAAAAATTTCATCTTATCTGAGTTTGAAATGCCAAGTTCGAAACTTACCAAAAAAACGTACTTTAATGGAAGAGAGTTTTCGTCTAGTTTAAACCATTTTTCTATAAGTTCCATATTTGGAATATTTTCTTGTTTTCCACTCTGTAATATCATTTCAAATTCATCTGCGTCGATCTGAGATGGAACAAACAAATATCCATAGCGATTTCCAACAAAATAAATAAAATTTAAACCCGTTGATAAATTCATACAACGCTCAATTTCTTCCATGCACATCGCTTCACCTGAATGATCATTGTCAGCTGTATATGACACTCCCCATCTAGAAAGATAAAAGATTAGATTTTTGTCCGGTACTGATACAGAAGAAGTTAGTACGTTTTCTCTTCTTTCGCATACAAATACATAACTCTGTATAAACCATAAATAAAAAAATTTACCTCATATCCACCACTTGAAATTCGTATCCTAATTCTCCACATACTTGTTTTATTTTTGGAAATACTCGACGATATAGTTCATTACGTTCAACTTTGAAATCGGAAAATGTTGAACTTATAAATATTCGAAAATGTTTTGAACCTTGTTTTGATAATTTTTGGAAATCACCTTGTAAAATTTTTCTATAGTCTTCTGATGGTGGCCGCGGCTTTAGTTTTTCTACTGTAGCGGCAGGAATTGTATTTCTTCGAGACTGAACAAACGATATTGGTACTTTTTTTATTGTTGTTGCTGTAAATTTGTTTATAGGTAAACCAGAAGCATTTTTGTTTATAGGTAAACTAGAAGCATTTTTGTTTATAGGTAAACTAGAAGCACCTTTGTTTATTGGTTTTGGTTTTGAAGTTATGCTGATTGGATAATTAAGAGGTTGTAAACGCACAGGTGATAGCCGAGGGGCCAAATTCGTTTTACTGGGAAGATTTTCCGACTTCGCTTTAACCGGCATACTATGAAATATAGCAATAATAGATGGGTTGAACTAAATGACAGGCATGGTCTTTTCAAAAAGGTCAAGACTTCCATAACAGGCACTGTTCGCTAAGCAACAGACTGCTTTGGTGTTTAGAATATATAGTTATTCTTGTTTTGTTTTATACTGGCGTAGTTTCTATAACGTGAAAGTATTCTATAATGAAAAAATCATGTCTCTAGTCAACAAATGTAAGCCTAACGTTGATTGTAGCGATTTTTGCAGCGAATCCATTTAAGTTTTACAAAACCTGATCCTCCAGTAGTCTATATTATTTTGTGCATAGTTCTGCGGTTTGTTCAAAAAAATATTAATGTAAACAGTGGAAGAAGATCTATTTTACTCCGTCTTAGTCTGTTTAATTGTTTTTCTCATAAACGAATAAAAATCTTAAAAATACTGAAAGAGAGGACGCACTGAGATGATGCTATTTTAGTTATGGAAAAAAGTTTGCATCCGATTGGTTCTTCCTTGGAGGTTAAGCTAGCAACATTTTGAGACTAGTCATTCGGGTATGAGAACGGTACATCAGAAGTAAAAGTCAGGAAAAGCTGCTCAATCAATGCAATTTTTTGATTGTTTACAAACAAGAGATTGTCAAGATTTTGCTGCTTGCGTTTATCTTGACCTATGCTTTGGTAGTTCCAGATTGTCGTAATCTACATTCTTTCTTTAGACTAACGTTAGTTAGCTATTGGCATTCTGAATCAAAATTCATGATCTGCTGATCTTGTTGCAGAAAGAAAAAAATATATAATTAATTGGATAAATTAATAATACCAGTAATTAAAATATCTTTCCTAGCTGAGTTTATTAAGGTTTATCCCTGTTTAATTCAATTTATTAGAGGTATGTGAAAAGGTCATTAGCCAATTTTTAGTATTGTATTATTTCCAAATCAGTATTTTTAGCCATAACAATGAAAATCATAGAAACTAATCATACAGAATTATTATTATTCACTTTTCGCTAATGCTAAACTTTAGAGAAACTCAGCACATAGGCGTCACTGCGTCTTGTATATGGATTATTAACCTAATATAGTAGTAGAGTAAGAAAGTTCTTCATGCAATCATCATAAACATCGCATAGAACGCGACAACTTCAGTTTGTACTTTATTATATAAGGCTAACAAAAAATATCAATGAACAAAATTGGACGTTGATTTTTCGCACAGAGAAAAGAATTTTATTAATTTACGTTGACTTCACTGAAACACCCATGGGCGTAGTTACTGGGGAGTGGCCACCATCTCCCTGATTCGGTATTGTCTGTAAGGCTTCGCACTTCAAAGCAAACGATTTTAGGAAGAACAAAAATGTTTTGGGGCAGGACCACCCCTCTGCTCTTACGAGGGAACCTCTCGAGGTGATTAAAAGCTTTTCGACTCAGACTATTTTCATCATGTAGGGAATAGTCAGTAGTGAAAAACCCCAAGTTGGTTTGGGCCCATGCGCCTTTTTGACGGAGATATGAG